CCAAGCATCTACTGAAACCTCTCAAACAACTCCTGCAGTACAACCTACTAGTCTACTGTCCATCTGTATGCTCAGAATTTTCCAAACTGTCATTGTTTTGCCAATAAATGGCAAAAAGTCTCACTGTTGAGTACATTTTTATATCTGACTTACATCTGATGGTAAAAACTGCACCATAAGAGCGAGACGGAAAAAACCAAGAGCAAATAAAGAGCTAGAATTAGTTCAGTAGTTTCAGACTTATTAATGAATGTCTGTTACATTCAAGCCCTTGCCAAACGAGTTCACACAATGCAGATTAAAGGCCTGATCACACCAAGATTCTCGAAACGAAGTGCCAGAAGAACCATTGTTTTCCTATGGTATGGCATGCCAGGCATACACTTCTCTCTTACGCCGCAAGTTGTGTTTTCCTAGCAGTTTTTACATTAGCATAAAAGTTAAAATATTCATATCTTTACCACTTGTCAATGTCACACTTGGCCCAAGCAGCCAATCAAATCAAGCGAGTAGACTCACAAGTCAGTCTTTAGATGCTTTGCTTAACTAAAGACTGATGTCTTTCTACCTTATTTTGTGTTTAGATAGGCGGACACAATTTCAGAGTTTAAAAAAACTCCCTACGTTGCAGAACCAATAGTAAATCCGCAGGGCGGTCCTTCGGTGGCTCGCAGAACTCTTGTGCTCGTAAACATAGTCCGACTGCATTAAAAGTTTTAAACAAAGTCGCTGTAAGAGTTAAATCTCTCGGCATCCATTTTCAAGCTCTCTGTGTGTTTGTTTCCTTGCGGAAGAGAAAAGGGGGAGCGCACATATCTGGGACGGCGTGTCCTTTTCAAAAATGCAAGAGGCGTTGCTTTGTTGCCGGCCGTTTTCTCTGGTGTGTTAAACACACTTTAGAAAGGAGTGTCCCCAGACTATCAGAAGGTGGAGATCTCTGATTGTCTGGTGGCGAGACTATCAAGCGAGAGGTGGGTGTTACTACTGTTTTGATACTAGTAGATAGAAACAACGGACAATGGCAAATGCAGACAAAGTTTTATATTAGCGGTATTTAATCACAATGAAACTCAACTTATCATTTAAACACTAATGTGCAAACTCATGCATTAAGTTGCATGAGCAACCAGATGAACCTCTCTGGTGAGTATAACACCATTTACTATGCTGATTTATAGGCTAGCTAGCTAGTTAGCTTTTTGACTGTAAGATAGTTACGGAGTATGTGAGAGGGAAGGGGGAATTCATATCTCATGTCGTGATATTTCATGTAGGCTACTGTCTTTAAGAGAGAACAACCACATGTATGGAGGGCATGGGGAAGATTACAAGAAATGTGTTTGAGTGTGATTTTCAGTTAATCCTATTTGATTGCCCACTTGCGCACACAGCCGCGCTTTTCTGTCAGCCGTGCTTTCAAGGCATTTTGGAAGCAGTTGTGCTTGTTCAGTGTGATTGAGGTCTTAGTCTGTTGCCACCAGAAAAACTCTCTGTAATCCTCAATATACAAGAGTTGTGGTGTCTGTGGCAACGTTCCTACGCTGGTGCACTGGAAGCGATGCGTTTTATATCAACCAGTTAGAGTTAAAGGGGACAGGAAGGAGCAAAAAATCCACCCAAAAGAAGTTTCTGGAATGGATGCTCCTGATAAAAAAGAATCTCAGTGTCTAGATGAAAGATTAAAGTCTGCCCTTACTTGCATGGCAGGACTTGAAAAGGGCACTCCTGGGAGCAGGGGAGATGCAGCGAGCTCACCTGCAGGCATACGTCATGAGCACAAATCGACAGTATTTGTGTAACTACTGTCACTGCCAGATGGGGGAAACAAAAGTATCGCAGTGAAGGTTTCAGAAATCTCATTCTGATGTTAAATTTTACTTTCAGGTGTATATGCATTTGACGCCACAGCAAAGGTGCAATCTGCTGCCTTATTAAGGACAGATGGAAATCTAGTTTAAATTTAATGTAATCAACAATTAATTCAGAACATCTGTGAAGCGGAATAATGTATTAACTGCAGCATCTAATTAGTGTTGTTCTGAATATCAGCACTTGTGAAATATCTGCCATCCAATTCAACTTTCTTTATAGACATTTTGCTTTGTGTGTTAGAGTCAGCAGAAAAAAAAGATTTACAACAGGTGAGTATTACTTTTCAAGTGTTTTAGCTTTGAATAACATTTGAACATTTTCACCAGTGGTTTACATAACATGTCGGCTGTTCCGTAATGCTTTGTGTCTCATATCACCTTTGCCTTTTTAGCAATTGAATTCTTATTTATCTCATGGTACACAAATCCTCTATCAGTAAACCTAACGGCTGTTCTGCACATTGTCAGCTAGCTTCATGATGGCAGCCAGGCTGCTGTTATGGATGCTTATCATTTTTTATTGCAGCCTGCCTCCACATTGAATTTAATAGCCATTCCCCATTAACACTGTCAATGTGTTCAATTTTGTGTCTATGTGTACCTTCATTTTAGGTTTGCACAATTCTATAGAAAATGACAGTTAGGATTTCTCAATCAGAAATGGGCTTTTCTGTCATTGAATCTTTGGGAAACCATTTTTTTGTCCAGTGTTTTAAGGCACTTAAACATTTGTCATATTGCTTTTTACTCTGATGTTAAACAGTGGAAGTGCAAGAATAACATTTCTGTCAGAATGGGGGATGGACATGCTTATTTTTTGATTTTGTTCTTGATATTCTTTTGAAGAGAAGGCTCTTTCTCACTCAAATTAGATTTTTTTTTTTTTGCCTGTGCAGAGGGGGTCATTGTAAATGAAACGTGCAAACAAAAAAAAAAAATAGAATCTGCAACAGACCTGTCTGCTAATAGAAAATTCGTGCATAGAGGTTATGTAAGAATCATAAATGCAATTTTAATATTAATCAAGTGGCTCTACTTCATTTGTAATAATGCTTGTGGGAGTGTACTGTACACGCATACCCATGTGGGCCAGAGAGTGAATAAAGTTAAGTGAGACATGAGTGTGCAAATGTATGAGAGAGGGAGAGTCAAAGAGAGAGAGAGAGAGAGAAAGTGAGGAGGATGAAGCTGTAGTCTCCATGACAAGCAAATCTAAAACAGGAAGAAGACTGAGATGAGAGTGAGTAATGGAGGCAGAGAACAGATGACTGAATTCATTGCATTATATTGCACTGTCTGCACTGCAGGCATGGATAAAGACAGACGAGAGTGGTGGAATAAAATGAAAGGCATCATTTAACATGCTTAGAAACTACATATTGTGTGCCTGTGGCTTTAAATTACCAGTAGCCAATTGCCAAATGCTTAATTCTGTCAGTTTTATTGGCCGTTTCTTGGTTGGGACAGTCTTATGTCTTATAAATAAAAAAGCAGTTGGACTATAAAGATACAAAACTCCTCTTGCCACTTATAATGAAATAAAATGGGTGTTTCATGCCTTGAAGCCATGTGGGCAAGATATTTAAAGATCATTAGACCTAAAACTATTGGCCAATGAATCGACAATTCAATCGCCAGAGAATTAATGGCTGCCAGAATAAAATACAAATGGTGTGCTGGTTCCACATTTTCAGATTTGAGGATCTACTGCTTTTTTTTGCAGCTCAGGGAAATAACAACTGTCTTTTCTTGACATTTGCAGCAGTTCAGCTCACATGTAGAAGATGTTAAGGTGTGACCAAGCTCCTGGCCTACAGAGCAAGTAGTGTGACACCAACCCATCACTCCTAATATTAAAGTCACAACACACCCCACCTTTCTGCTCAAACTAACTGTGTAAACTCCTCTGGTATAGATAACGGTCATTTCCTCTTTAGCAGTACAGCCCTGTCCTTATATACCATTACACCACATGCATACAGAACTCTGCTTTCTCTAAGGGTAGACCGGCATCTTCATGTTAAGTAGCAAAACTGGGAATGGTGGTGAGAGCACAGCGTGCCCACATCCTTAGTTATTCATGGTTATTTTTTCCTGGCAACTGACTTACGTAATGTTTTGTAATGTGCCTACTCTAAGTTCTCTAGGTTTTTCATTATAAACATGGCATTTACAAATAAATGATGCCACTTCCCAAGTACTGGAGTAGTAGTAGCATTAGTGGAGACTTGCTAAGGAGGAGAGGTTAATGTTAAAGACGTGTTTGTAAGTGTGATGGTGGGGAAGCAAGGTGTTGTATTGAAAGCTGTCTTTCAAACAGAGAGTCAGATTCATGGCACCACACAGTATGTAAATATGAATCTTTGGACAAGTTGTCATTTCCCCCAAGTAAGGACTTTCAGGAAACAGAGAAGTTTGGTGTAATTATCAAAAAGTGTGCCAAACATAAAGGAGAACACACTGCTGAATGGTTATATCTGACTACTGTAAACAGCAAAGCCCTGCAAAACAGTGTTTGGTGGAAGGAAATAAGCTTACCATTCACACTGCCAGTGTTATTTTGGCTGAAAGGTAGGTGTGTGGCTAAACTGTGATGTCACCCTCTAGTGTATTTCAGTGGTGTCAGCTGGTAAATGGACATTATGCTCTTACTATCCTGACAAAGACCATCTCTCCCAGGAGTAACACATCGCACAGCGTTGAGACACCTCACATCAATACTGTGGCTTTATTTCTAGACAGGGATTTAGAGTTCCCTCCCCTCTCTGTTTACCTAAACCACAGTCTCATCTCCATTCATATTAAAGCCAAGGTCCTGTCCCGTGTCCTTGCTCTTGTGCAAAGCATGAGGGACTTCACAGAAAAAACGTGACTTCTTCAAGCGAACAACAGCAAGGACATTCTTTTGTCAATGAAAGAGGAGATGAGGCAGTGTGCAGGATGTCATACATGATGTACTGTAGAAGTCATGGGTTGTTTAGGGACGAGCAGCAATGACATGACAACAGAAGCAGGTTCTTGCAGGGGGTGAATATGCGCAGCTTATTATGAACCGGACTCTTTCTATCCAAGCAGAAACATGTACTCATAAAGAGAGACAGATAAAAGGTAGAAAATGTCCTTCCTTACCTGCTCTCGTCCTGACCCTTCCTCCAAAATGGGCTCTTCTGCGGTGGCCGTCTCCTCCTCCGTCTGCATTTTCCCTCTTGCCACTCCTTCCTTCCTTAGAACCGGGCACAGGCAGCTCCCACCCCGGTAACGTCCGAAGGCAGGGACCTCCCCGGCGGAGCAGCGAGCTCGGTCACCCCATCCGCCGCAATTCGGTATCCAATTTCACGATGGCGGGGCCTGCGGCAAATAAGCATCATCTACTCCGGATTTAGCGATGCCCTCCTGCTTTCTTCCTGTATCTTCACCCGCCGACCCGCCTCAGTGTTTCTCCTCCAACCGCTCCATCCTTCACCTCCCTGGTCAAAGCCAAATGTGACTAAGCATCCACAGTCACAGCCCGTCGCCCCTTCCTGCCGAAACCGTTTTGGCTGTCGCTGCCGCCGCTTCTACCTCTCGTGATGCTCAGCTGCGAGTGTGCGTATGTGCACGTGTGTGCGCGTGACCGACAGCGCAGGAGAGCCAGCCGGGGCCAAGGATATCACCAGCTGCACTAATGAAGGAAGACGCTCGTGAGACGCGTGGTGTTAGGTTTGGATAAACACAATGTATAGAAATACAGCAAGGACAGTGAGCATGGCTGTCATTATTTAACTTTGTTTGGCCATGGCTGCACCTCGCGTTGGGTCTCCGTTGACGTCATATACCAACATCCCCACCCCCCATCTATACACCTGAGCACGCACGCACGCACGCACACGGGCGAGTTTCCCCTGTGGAGATAGACAGGCGCAAAGAGGCACGCATGGCACTGCTGCCACATCATATGATGTCTAGTTTGATGTTAAGACACACACACACATATCAAATATACAATACAGAAAGCCTGAAATTCACTTGCTACAACTATTTCAGTGATTTTATTGTGTCAGAGAAAATGTAAAAATGCATTACAATATTTAACTTTTGTGGAATAAAATAGAGGAATGTGGTAGGAAGATGATAATAAAAAGAAGACTTTAATGATGTGAAATCTGAAGAGATTGGTGATGTGTATTCCTCACAGAAGGTGTCCTGAAATTTACAAACAAAAACTGTATCAGAGATTGTGACATGATTCCTATCCATGTGTCACTAATACAGGATACTGACCAGTGTTTGCTGCAGGACTGGTCAGGTATGTACCAGATCGTCTGTGGGGCTGCACGGACAGGTGATGGACCCTGGAGCCTTTCTTCTTGTGGTCCTTGAGCCACATGTCGTATAACCTCTCAGGGAGGATGGGTGAAATGATATAAGGACCAACATCACTGTGTGTTTCCTCTTTCCGCTTCTATAAACTAAAGCTATGAACATTTCTTGTGTATAAAGGATATTAGCAGTGACAGGCAGGTAGAGGATGTCTGTCTCAGTGTGGATGATGATATCCAGGGAGATGTACCTCTTTGGCTCTGCTTCTCCTGCTTGGACTGCACACATGGCAAACAGCTGAACCTGCAGGTTAACATGCAAACCTGCAGCCACCTGGACAGACACACAGTACACTGCATGTGTAGTTCTCAACAGCTAAGAGGGAGATGATAGCTTTCCTGAGTTAAATATTTATCTTTAGAAACAACGCTAAACATGTATGGATGAAATAGATGTTAACTCATAGAAACAGGCTAATTCAAACATTAACATAATCATTAAATCCAGCTGGGAACTTACAGGCCCAGGATTGTAGATGACCCGCAGGCCTGTCGCAGGAGGAGGCTGTTTCACATGGAACCTTGCAGAGAGATAGATTGAAACAAACCACAAATAGAAGGTCAAAGTTTTCCCTTTGGAGTCGAGGGTGACCCACAAATCGCCTGCACCTATTCACAGCACTCACTTCTGTCCGACATACTGAAGGACATTTGAAGTTGTGAGGCTGCAACTAAACTACTAATTCTTTTCATCATTTCCTGAAATCAAAGTCTATATTTGCATCTATTTATCCACACTTCCCATCTATCTATAACCTGGTGTTTTACCTGCAGGTGTCAACACCCACATTCTTCATCACAACAGTAATGGTCGAGGAGGTACCCTCCTGCAGTGTGCCAAAGTCAACACTGGGCGGAAGCAGCTGGAATCCCCTCGCTATGACATTCGGATCGGTCAGAGAGACAGTTCGACACTTCCTCCTCACAGGCTCTTCAACTGACAGGAACTGCAACAGGGGACGCAGACACAGCATTCACAGACATGAATGCTTATGTGAACAGTGTGTGTGTAACACAGTGATAGAGGGAGAAGCATGTGTGAAGATAGGTGCGCATGTGGAAAAGGAACCCATATTTTTTCAAAAATTGCACAGGTACAGGATATACAAGGAAAAATAGGTCACATCACTGATTGTGGGCTACACAGTAGACACAGTGATGTGTCTGTATTATTCCAACATGTTCTACAGTGGCATATCACCACCTCTAGATGTCACTTTAGGATACATTTAATAATCATATATTACATGTCAAACCTGGGAGTGAATTAAAAGTGTCTGTTTGGAGATGAATATATCTCTGTGGTAACCACACTATTGATTGGTCTTAAGTCTTTTATTGCAAAAATATTAAAGACATTTTAAATGTTAAAAATATGTACTGCAGAATACATTTTGTCATGACAGTGGTTGGGTACCTGTTGATTTGGAATGCAGCGGGGTTTAGAGCTGAGGATACAGGTTGGTAGTCTGACTTTAGTCCTCCTGAGCTTTCCAGTCACATCTACCTGGACTGACTTACACCGCCCAGATGAACCCCTCAGACTGCTTTCACCTGGCATACACACACACACACACACACACACACACACACACACACAGTCATCCATCCCTCACAGCATTTATAGTGCTCAATCCCCTCAGTCTGCATAATAACCATCCTGGAAATGATCTGCAAATCAATGACTGTGAATCCTATACATTCTTGTGGATCACGACCAACACCCTACAACAGACACAAAAAATAGATTTTGCTAGTATTGTGAGTCTTTCACCACACCACCAGGAAATGGGACAGGTTAATCTACTTTCTTGCCTGATGGTGCTTTAAATAGAATTCAGACTCTGCTCTCAAAATGTCCCTGCAGTATTCAGTGTAGTTCCTGATTGATTATGCTGTTCCTGAGCTTCTTGCTAATCTGAAAATAGCGATTTGTGTTCATTCTGCTCTGCACTGGCATTTGACACGTTGCTGATGAAGTCACTGGTTGGGGATTTCATTTTAATTTAAAACATCAGAGGAAGGTGGAGAACAAACCAGCAGTCTGAGGCGTGGGGTTGGTGGGTCTTTTTTCAAGCATCCTGTCACTTCCTCCTGCATGACTAAGAGCAAAACACAAGGAGAGGTTAAAATGTGTCACAACAGCAAATCTTAAGACAAGCATTTTACGTTAACAGATGTTTTGTGAATCACAACAAATTAAGAACAAAATCAAATGCATTACCTTGCAGACTGAGAGGGTGTTGGGTTTAAGGGTCGTGAGGCTGCAGTTACAAATACAAACACGATATATTATAAAGTATGCATGTTATTGAATCAACAGTTAACAGCTTTTATGCACTTCTACAGTTGCTTCAAATAAAATAAAAAAATAGTTTACCCTTAGTTTCTCTGTATTGATTCCCAACAGGACACTCCTTAAAATTAGTGTCATCATAGTTCCTTGTAAATACTGACAGCATAATAACTCACTGTTCTCTTGTGGAGCATCTTTCATGAAGTCCTCAGCACTGTCTGACTTTGGGATCGGAGGGAGTTCCAAGGACAGACTCCTCATGTCTGGTGTTTGGGGCTGTTGTAGATTCTGGAAAACAAGCAACAGTGCTGTGTCTCTTGTTGCACAATGCGAATTTCTCTATAAAAAGTCCGAAAAGGTGAATCAATTTATGTTTAGACTTGAGGTTGTTTCACAATAATGCTAATTCAGTAACTGAAAAAAAAATATTAAAACATATGTATAGTATATTGAAGTGAACGCATACAGTACCTGGTACAGTGGAGTATTTTCTGGGTGGAAAAAAGGAACAATGTTCTTCTTCCTCAGAGCCTCTCTGTAAGCCTGCTCCTCATACATCTCCTGTCTGACACACACATGCACACAGAGAAAATTACTGACAAGATGGTGGTTACTAGTGCAAACACAATGTACTTGTAGCCACTGTAGTACCATCATGTCCCATTTACCGTCTTCTATTTATCCTACACTCGTCCTCTAGTTGTACTGCAGTAGATTGTGTAGTTTGGGACCAAATAATTGCATTCAAAGGAGAATCACTACAGCAGCCATACAGAAACTGACGAGCTAAAAGCCACTTCCACAACATACACACCAATTTGGCAAATGTATCAGTGAATGTTGGCACAGAAAAACTTAACTTGATGAAGCTAATTCATGTCAAGGTGGTGCTTAGTTCTTCACTAACAATCGTAAAGAAACCTTTATTTACCTGTGCTGTGCAAGCCTTTCAGTCCATTTTGAGTCCTCTCCGTGAGTAAAACTGGATAGCAGAATGGGTTTAAGACGACATTAATGCAATGCATTTAAATATATGGCACTTAACAGAGTGTTAAATTATCCATTCATGCATGCCATTTTAATCTCTCCAACCTGTCACTAGCTACTGTCACTGTGTCTTCTGAATCATCCGAGTGCTCAATTGAGTCCCCGACTTCTTGGCTGTACAAATTGGCTATGTCTGCTGTGGATACACACAGAAGGAATTAGAAAAAGTATACATATGCCAATGTGTTCTGAGCCCTAAACACCGAACTAAAATTAAATTACATGTACTACTGTACTTAACTCTAACAACTGAATACTTAAAGGAGTGCTACACCCCACCAAATTACCATTTGTATCAGTTACTCATCCGTGTTATGTTTAATTCATTAAGAATACTTTGTTGTTCTTGCGTGCCTCCAAGGTAAAAGAAGTATCTCGAAACTGGGGAAATTCTTGATGAACTGAAATAATAGGGGTCCGCGCCGGACAACAGCAAAACTTTATCAGAACATCCGTTAACAAACTCTCACACAACACATGCAGTATAACCTGAGCCTCATTTATTCAGTTATATGCTCAGTACTTCCCACACAGACAGCCCTTTTCATCAGGAAACTGAGTTTAAAGGGAAATCTATCATGCTCTCTTCAAAGCCAGACTCCATTGAAAAAAACTGTAATTTTACCTTGCTGAACACAAGAGCTACTGATCTACCAGTGCCTCAATCACTTCGTTTGTTTGACTTTGGTGTTTTAAAGGGTTAGTTCGGATTCAGCAAACTAACACAATCACACAAAGAAATTACAGATTGAGGCCGTGGTAGACAGGCAGCTCCCATGTTCATAGAGGTAGAATTACTTGATTTGTCAATGGAGTCTGGCATTAAAAAGAGCCTAGATTAAAATTCGCTTTAGTGCAGTTTCCCACTGTAAAGGCAGTCTGT